GTTTCACACCTGTTAAGTCTGGATTGCAGTTCAGTATGATACTGTTTTTATGCTTTCATAATAAAATGTATTAACTGGTAGGTAGAAGGTGATTATAGCTAATGGAAAAAAAATTACTACCAAAGTCTTTTCCTGATCACAGTAAATACAACAGGATGGAGTTAACCACTCTGCCTCCCAACTGTAAAAATAGTTTTAATAGAAAACTAAGAATCAATTTTCTGGGAAATTTATGGATATGGAATTATTTGCCCCTCTACAATTGGGAATAAACGAAAAGTAAAGCATTCTACAGAGATCATGAACCTTACAGTAACATCCCTGGAGGACAAAAGTGATTTGAAAAAGCACTTAACTAAAGATAAACTCTATTTTTTCCTCTCTCCTCTCATGTTCTCACATCTCTAGAAGATAGTTGGGCCTCTGGGCAAATTTCTGATGATCCATGAGTACATAAAATTAGTGAAAAACCAGGCACACCTGTAGAAGTTGTTTATTAATGTTCAACTTGTGAAATGGAAGCGCATTCCCTTGAAATATAATATTCCCTCATTTTTTTTTTTTTTTTTTTTGTTCATACTACAAATTGGTTTTGGATGTATTAGGGCTTCAAAGAAATAATTTCCAGCTATATAGGGATGGACTCTGGGTCTTTCCATTGAACTAGTAAGTCTCCTGATGAGGCCAGAGAGCCCAATGTCTAGGGGCCAGGTGAGCCCCTCACTCCTCAAAGCCTGCCTTTCTGGTGGCCATGACAGTTGCAGATTCCGAGGCAGGGCAGGTGATCCTTTTGTCTTCCTGGTTGTGAATGTTATACTCGGCCCTCAGTGGTACAGAAGGCCAGGCTAACAGGTTGGTACAAAGAGTGGACACTGTCTGTGATTCTGATTCCAAGTGAGGGGTTGGCAGCCAGCTGGCACCGGGTAGTCCCTGGAAGTGACAGGTTGGGCTGTGCTCCTCTCTGCCAGTGTGTGTACCATGGTGGAAAAAGCAACAAGGCACTGTTGTTGTAAGGACAGGGACTTGCCAGGGGGATTGCAGATTCTCAGCCACAAAGCTTGAAATGAAAGTGAGTCAAGAACTTTTGTAGAAGAATTCCATCTTTCCAGGCTGTTAGGGCTCCCTGGTTATAGCTAATAGGACACCTCTGCTCCTTCTAGGATGTGTTCTAAGTGGTTCACGCCCTGGTGAGAAATAAGCTCATTCATGGCATCCACCCCTCTCTGTTTTTTTTCACGGATGTCTTTGCTTTAGCTTCTGAATATACAGTAGAAATAATAGTACAGATGTGGTTTGGGTGAATTGCTCTGAAAAGTGCTTTGAGTTTCAGAGAAATAAAATAAGACAGCATGAAAGACCAAGTGTGATTCCTTTTTATTTCCCCAACATTTAACCCATTGTCTAGCACGTTGTGGTCACTCCCTGATTCCTTTTACTGATTGGATGAAAACATTGTAGCAGGTGATGGTGCTATTAAGCCTATTGATACTCCCTTGAGAGAACAGTGTTCTTGTCCATGCGCTAAGCAGTGTCGAATCAATTCTACCAAGTGATTTCCTTCAGGGGACACACTACAGAGTGGAGTGATGACAGTCCCTTTTCCTAATGAGATTTACGGGACCCTGAAGCCTGCCTGTGCTTGAGGAATGCTGGCGATGCCCCACTGGGAGACCCGCCAGAGATTGAAGGTGATACCCATGTCTTTTTCCCTCATCCTCAGGATCCTTTCTGAGGTTCCCTATGTGGCCTTTCAGAGGAGAGATTTTTTTCATCACTGTGTACTTAAGGACATTATCAAGGTCCTGGCTATGTGTGGGGTACTTCTGTGAGGCTGCAGGAGAAAAGAGGCCTTGGTTACAGCATTCAAGGTGCCTGTTTTCTAATAAGGAAGAGATACAAGTACTCTAACCACAATGTGACACAGAACATGTAAGGGCTGAAGCTATTGAGATGAAGAGGGTAGAATCTTCCCACCGGAGTCAGGGAGGGTTACACATGAAGGAGGTGGAGTTTGAACCCTGCTTGAGGAAACGATAGGAGTTTGGTGGTTAGGGATGGGAGTGAAGGAACCATTCCAAGTAGAGGGGAAAAAGCAAGATGAAAAGAGGAGAATGGGCTGGATTTGAAGAGCAGTGAGTTTGCAAGAGCTTGGACTGGAAGAGGGAGGGAGGCCCAACTTGGAGGACCCTGGATGTCACCCCAAGGATTGTGAATGACTCTCATTATCCCTTTAATGTTATATAGTAAGTTCCACAGCTCTTCTTCTTCCCCAGCAAACATGGTGGGAGTAGAATAAATTCGTTCACAGAAAAGCTGAAAACTCTTGGGAAGTTGTTACTTAACCATTTCCTTTTGTGTTGAGCCCTCCCTTCATTTTCTCTCAGTGAAAAAAAATGCAAGGATAGGTGAGAGAGTTGGGAGGGTCAGATAGCACTGTGGCTCCAGAGTATAGATAGCTGCCTCAATATAACTGTAGGATGTCCCTCCTGGTTTGATAGGTGAGCTTAAAAACTAGAAACCAGTTAGTCCTACTTCCTCAGACGAAATAAACTGGGTTTGTTTCTGTTAAGCTATTATACAATTATGTCCAAATACGATTTATTATTGATTTGGTTTAATGCTCTTAGACATGCCATCTTGTTTGTTCTGAGAGTTTTGTCTCATTGTAGATACTCAGCCTAAGTTAATATTTTATGAGACCCAGTGATAACTTAAGGCTAAAAATATGATAGAAGCCAGGGCTATTTTTTTGTTTGTAAAGACAATTTTGCTACACTCAAAAGAGCTAAGATTGAGAAACACAAACCCCCATTTGAGCACAAGGCCCACTTCCTTTATTGACCATTCTGGTGAGCAATGATGAATTGCAACAAATTTTCTCATTATTAAGTCCATAGCCTTCCAAAGACCATAGTAATCGATTTTTACATTCTTACAAATATTTACAAAGTGATTATTACATCCCAGGCACTGATCTAAGAACTTTACAAATATCAAGCTGTTTTATCCTTATAACAACCATATGAAATAGGTGCTGTTATTATTCCTATTTTACAGACAAGGAAATTAAGGCACAAAGAGGTAAAGTAACTTGTCCAAGGTCACACGGATAGTATTCACTGCCATTTGAGTAGACGTGAAGTAAAGGTTGTGTTTGGTGTGTTTGATGTCACTGGGAAAGGGGAAGAACTCGCCTGAGAACTTCCCATGCTGTGCCCTATGCAGAATTGGGTTCTTGGACCATTTTATTAGACGCTTCTTTTCTACAGTTTATGTCAGTAGTTGTCATTCAAGAAACTCAGTATTTTTGCTGTGAATGTCTGTAAGTGAACAGTTTCCATATATGTACAGCAAGTATGCATTAGCTGTACCACAGTCTAGCCCTGCATATTTTCTTATGTTAGAAGATGTGACTGGTAGTAGCATTTCCCCAGATGTACGGCAGTGACTGGACAGTTAATAAGAAATGACATTTAGTCATATGTTCTATAGGCCCAACACCCTGCTAAGCACATCATATGCATTATTCAGTTTAATCCTTCCAACAATCCCATGGAGCAGATCCTAAGAATATCCCCTTTTTATAGATATGGAAACAGAGGCCTAGAAAGGTATTGTAATGAGTGCAGATTGCAGAGTAGGGATTCGAACCCTGGAACTGTTTCCTGAGCCTCTGGTCTTGACCACTCTGCGTGCTCCCTCCTCCTGTGCCATACCAGGGGCCAGGAATGACCACTCATTCATGACTGAGTGCCAGGGCAAAGCCTTTGCTGCTGTCTCAGCCTCCCTCCAGAAGCGGCCGTGTGGCATGCTTGTGGCCCATGGCCCTCCTTGCTGGTTTGGCATTCTCCCTGTGCTGGCCAACCCAGCTGTCTGCTCCTGACTCCTGCCAGTGAATGACAGCTGATCTTGACAAACTTCTCTGGTCATCTTGTGGCAGATCTGCTTCATGTCTTAATAGATCCTCCACTCGCTTTTGCTGTTAGCACGTATTGAAAGAGCCAGGTTTCACCCCGTGTCCCTCCACCATCAGCCTTCTCCCCAGCTGAGTTCAGCATTTGTGGGCTGCCTGAATGCCACTCCACCCTGTGACTGGGCAGCAGGGAGATGGGTGTGGGCGGAGCAGGTGGAAACCCAGACGACATGGATCCTGACAGTGATGGTGGCGACTGTAAGGAGGGGAGTTCATGCAGTCATGTTAGCTGCTTATTAGGCACCTTGAGAGGCCTATTGATAATGACTTCTACTCTTACTTTTAGATAGTATTTTCTTCTACACCAAGCATGGTATCCATGGTAGATGCTCCGTAAGCATTTGGTGAATGCAGGAGCCAGTGAGTGACTGAATGAATGAATTGTTGCCTGGTTCCTTTGATTAAATGGCATCCTAAAAGGCCCTGGGGATACGTTTTCTCCTGCTGCTACCTGGGATTGTGTTTCCTCCACTCGGCTCTTCCCTCCTGAATGCCTGGCCCTTCTTTCTCTTCCCCTTTCTCCTTTGCGTATCAGCCCAGGGAGTGGCTGGACTCCATGGTGGAGGCAAGAAATGTGTTTTAGGTGATATTACAGATGGCGATAGGTTCCATAATTTTAGAATAGAAGTATTCTTTGGGGAAATTAGGAGTTAAATCAACTTTCAAGGGCTAATATGAAACCCAAGCGCCCACGTATGATATTAATGTAGGAACATGCATTTTGAGTCCTAAACAGACTGTGGGGCCAATCCCTGGGAACTGAATATATTTGAGCAGCTCAGATCATCCAAGCACGTGCGGTGGAATCTGTCCCTCGTCTGTGCTCCTGACTGAGAGTCTCTTCTTGACTTGGTGGTTTTCCTGACATGCTGGATTGAAATAGAATGGTTTCTGGAAATTGTGTTCTTGGTACTAGTGACAGGTTCCTACAGCTTTGTTTTCCAGTTGGAATTTATAATTGATACATCACACCGGTGTCTGGGCAGACTGTGCCTTCAGTGGTTTTCCCTCCTGTATCTTTCCACAGATGTGTCATCCCCACACCAGCGAGCCTCTGCCAAGATGAAACCGATAGAAGAAGGAGCAGAAGATGATGATGAGGTCTTTGAACCGGCATCTCCAAATACATTGAAAGTCCATCAGCTGCCTTGATCAGAGAAAGAATTCGGGTTACCAAGACAGAACATGTCTTGAAGAGATCCTGAAAAATACCAGCACTTTTTCGTGGCTTTTAGGTTCTTCTGCTTTAGTGCATCCAGACTGGTAGTGCCTGAGGGAGGAAGTGAGGAAGGGTCAAGGATGGAAGGGTTCTTTCACTTACCCTTTTGATTAGTCAGCTTTTAAAGTAATTGTTTTACTGAGCCTTCTGACTATGCCTTGTTCTCTTTTGAGATATATATTTTCACAGTCTTTTCTAGATATATTGTTGTTTTAACTTAACAAATCTTAGCACTCTCTCAATGCCTTTTCACTTACTTTTTTCCAAGTTGTGATTCTTTTTCCTCACGGTCTTTTTTGTTCCATGGCGATGGGGTTGTCCGTTTGATAATTTTAACAAACAATGTAAATTTAAATTTGAGGCTAAGGTAACGTGAAAAAGCATGGAATCTCAAACTTTATTCCATATTTTGTAACGGGACGTTTTAGAGAAAGGTGTGATTTGACTGGTTTTATTTTTCTCCCAGGCCGGAAGTATTACCCCACTGGATCACCTTACTTACTTGGGCTCTGTGTCGATAACTTGATAATGAACACAACTCTCAGACTTGACTCACATTACCCTTGTATTATGCCATTTATAAACTGCTCTGAAACCTGAAGCTGGAAAGATAACAGATGGGTTTCTGAGCGTGGGGTTAACCTCCAGCCAAACTCAACTTCCTTGGGATTTGGAGTCACCTTGTCCTGCACACACGGGTGTGGGAAACACTTTATGTAGGTTGGGAGGACAGGGGTGTTAAATGGCTGGGCAGGTGCCACAGGGTGAGGTGACTGAAAGATCCGCTTCATTCTTTGGTCTGTATTCTGAAGTTCCAGATTGTTCATCTAGAGGCAGAGACGTCGCTTTTAAAAAAGTGCCAGATGCCCCAGTGCCAGAGCCGTGAACGTGAACACAGTGGAGGGCAGAGGGTTTACCACAGGCCAGGCTGTGGGCGCCCAACCCAGATACTGCAGTGAGGGCCTTCATTCCAGAGCTCTCTTTTCTACTGAAATCATGGTTTAGTAAACAGTGGCGTTTGGCTGGTGGGAAATGCATAACTGGTCAGTGTGTCTGGTCAGCGTGGCTGTGGCACTTGGCCAGGACACTCCGTTGAGTGAAGCTCGTTGATTGGCCATGCTGGTCATGTCTCTTTTGCTTCATCCACTAGAACCAACTTTGAGTCAGTCCACTGTTAGGTTAAACGGCTAAGAAAAGTTCCAAATGAAATTGTTTCCAGGTGAACTGAGCCAAAAGCAGCAACTCTTCCCATGAGGTGATTTCTGTTAGAGGAGGCATGTAAATAAGCTCATCTAGGGTCACCTCATTTTCCTAAATATGTTTTTAAAGCAATTATTTTAGTAATTTCATTTGAGTTAAATTTACATGCTCGGTCACTCATTGAGAAAATTTATGCAGACTCTGGATCCAGTTCCTGACATCTTCATCAGATGTTGGTTTATTGACATCACAGTAAAAAGGCTACTGTCAACTGGACACGGTGGCTCACACCTGTAATCACAGCACTTTGGGAGGCCAAGGTGGATGGATTACTTAAGCCCAGGAGTTCAAGACCAGCCTGGGCAAGACCAGCCTGGGCAACATGGCTAAACCCCATCTCTACAAACAAAATTAGCTGGGCGTGGTGGTGCACGCCTGTAGTCCCAGCTACTCAGAAGGCTAAGGTAGGAGGTTCGCTTGAACCTGGGAGGTTGAGGTTGCAGTGAGCCCAGACCACACCACTGCACTCTAGCCTAGGCAACAGAGTGAGACCCTATTTCAAAAAAAAGGCTGCTTTCACTGTACTGCTGCAGCAGTTTCTTCAGGTAGCTAAATTAGGAACTTGTTTTGGAGAAATGAAGCAAAGGTGAATGACAGCCTAGGCTTTGAAATGATAAAGCTCTCTCAGGTTGAACTCTCTCTCACGCTCTCACTGTCTCCCTGTACCTGAGAGCACAGGTGTGACTGTGACATCATAGCCGATACTACTTTTCTGTACCCACTGGGGTAAAGTTAGGCAACCCATTTAGTTTACACATGCATAAGACTAATTTACAGAATCACTCTATACAGTCGTTAGATGTAACATCCTTCCCTGAGTAGAAAATAATGGAGTAATGAATGTGTTTGGAGATTATTTTCTGTAATGCTGGGAACAAACCTGTTTTAAAGCATACTGCTAAAAGTAGGTGACATAAGACCATTTACTGTTTTTATTAAAGTGTGTGTGTGTATCAGTGTCTCAATGTGAAGATTGTAATCTCAAGGTTAGGACTCTTAAAAGAGCCACTTAGCCTGAATGGGAAACATGAAACTATTTTTAAATACACACCTCTAAGGAAGACAGTGAGACTCTGAAAAAAGGTGTAAGGCATTGAGAAGCCCTCCCATATAGACTTGATTGCAAAGAAGCAGATAAGAAGACAGAAAAGTGTTTTAAATGTAAGATCTCCTATGGAGTACCTTAAATTCATTTATACAAATGAATAAGTATATCTTTGTATAATGCATAAATACATAGATAAAAACATGTTTGCTGCCAAAGTTCCCAGTAAGATGCTTCCTGTGTTTTTTGGCCTTTACTTAGCTGAATGATCAAAGTTCAGAAAATGGTCTGCAAAAGTTACTCCATATACAACCCCATATCTACTACTTTTAAATGTAACATCAACTCAGTTGTATGAATCTGGAGTGTAATATTTATATTAGAATGTATATGTCATTTAAAATATTTTGAAATCCCTCATAAATATTTATATTTACTAAACTAATAGCATAGACACTATATAAATCTACAGTGATGCTAAAATAAATTAGTAATAATGGGTGCTATATAATTATTTTTAGTTATCATCCCTGGCTCTCTGGAATCTTCTCCATTTCTCCCTATTACTCAATTTCATTTTAATCATTGGACACCTTTGCATTTTGTTGCGAACAGTGTGTGTATGTCACCCTCTTTATATCTGGTGTTCCCACTTGTCTGAAGCTCTCTTGGTGTTAGAACCTGGAGCTGCAGATTCCTCCATGTCAGCTCCCATCACAGCCCCAAAGACAGAGTCACTTGGTTGCTGGAAAAATCTTTGGGGAAAGCTGGTATAACCTACACGCTGACCTGTCCCCAGTGTTTCCAGGTAATGACTTGGCACTGCAGAGGAAGTTTCACGCTGTTGCGTGTGGTGGCTCCAAGCCAAGCACCTGGCATGCAGGTCAGCCCCTCCCAGCAGGACGTGGTATCATCCTCTTCTCAGATGCCATGTTGCAGCCCCAAGGTCTCACCATTTTGTGAGTCTTAGAAACCCATTTTCTTGGTCATTTATAAAGCTGCTTTATAGATATCTTTGATCCTGGCATGCCTTGGTTTCCTCTCCCTTCCCTCTTTCCAATCCTGGTTTCCCACCACCTCTTTTAGTAATTCTCAATTCAAAGTCCCAAGAATTTGGAATGGTAGGATGCTGTGCGGGGAGCTCGAGGCTGAGGCGTATTCACCACTTCAGTTCTGCTCCTCAGGGGACACGCTCCCTTACTCACGGCAGCCATGTTTGATTGTCACAGAGCCCCCCGAATACTGTCTATAGTGACACACTGTAGGTATCATAAATTTTAAGAAATCTGCTTTTAAGTACTGTTTATAGGTTTTTCTGTTACACTTGCAACCTAGTTTTAAAATACATGAGGATTTTATGAAAGCTTTATACAGACCTTTATAGGAAACTCATTCTTTGATTTTAGGTGCCATTTAAATTGATAACACTTACTTTATAATAAAGATGCTTTTTGTCTGGATACAGCCTTATAGTTTAAAATATCTTCATATATTGCCACTTGATCAAATAAATTTCTTACTTAGAAAATGTGTGTATTTTTTATTTCATCCCTCTTCCATGTATCTAGCTTGTTCGAATGCTGTGCCCGAAGGCCGAGGTTGTGGCGACTGCCCTGGTGCAGGCCACTGTATTCTGAGCGGTCCAGCAGGGGCAGTGCTCACGGGTCGGTCGTGCCTTACTTCAAAGGTCCTGCCATCCTGGCTGCTTTGACTGTGAAAAAAGAAAAATGGCCAGAAGACAGCGTAGACAGTGTTGACTAGATGCAGCAATGAAGAAGCCTTCAGAGTGTTACTGACGGGACTTGGTGGACTTCAGGCTTGTATCCACTGCGTCTGAACATTCACTCCCTTCTAGCTTCCTAAGATTCGACAATAAGAGGAGTCACATGAAGGAGTCAGAAAACCTCCCTGGGTCTGTTCTGTGGTGGACAAGGGGGACAGTCTTTCTATTCTTTGAGAAACCCACATTTTCTCCCATAAGCTGTCCTAGGTATTGGAAAGGAAACTTGACAGCCCATCTTTTGACCTTGAGTAGCAAGCCCTTGGCATCTAACACACTCACCCTAGTTGGCCTCAAGGATAGGCCCAAATGGAAGGAGCATCTTATACCATGAAAGAAATTAATTCTGTCACTCAACGGGCCATGGCATCGAGGCCTGATGTCCGGGTTTCCAGCCCTGAACTTTGTGCTGAGCCAGCTTTTGACCAGCTTCCCCTTACCTAAGACTGTGCTATAAGAGCTGGGGAGTCTCCACTGATGTCCACTTGGGGGTTTTCTGTGGACAGACATGGCTACAGCCCACCAGAAGATAAAGCTGACAGGACTTGGCTATTCGTGGGAACAAGTGGTGGTGAGTGAGGGAGGCGTGTCGGAGATTTCTGGCTGAAGTTACTGCTGGCGATTCTCTGGCCAGGAACATGGCAGAGCACCAGGTTTGAATGCAAAGCCTGAGTATGTTTTCTTCTTGGTAAGTTTGAGGGGCCTTGAGAATAATGAAGAGGTGTCAAGCAGGCAATTGGGTAAGTCAGCCTGGAACTCAGTGAAGGGATCTGGGCTGAAGATACAGATTTCCAAGTTGAAGACATCACTGTGAGTTTACCAGCTTCCTAATACATAAAGATTTTTCTAGTTAAGGTTTTTTCTTTTCCTCGTTCCTTGCACCCCCCATGAATGAATGAATGAATGAATGATAATAAATGAGTGAATTTTGGATCTTTTATTCTGAAACGTGTTAACATTTGAAAGATCTGCATCAGTGAGCCAGTATTTTTTAAGTGATCAACACATGATGTTATAAAGTCACACACATGGATATAAGATCTATTCCAAGCACAAGCTAGACCAGTGCAGCAGCACAAAAAACTGCCATTAAAAGGGTTTCAGACTCCACGCTGCAAACAACCTTTACGAAAGATTGTTCCTTTTCCACTCCCACTGCTTCACTTGACCTTAAAAAAAAGAAAAAAGAAACTATTAAGTATAGAGTTTCTTGTAGCATCAAGAATAGCCTCAGTTGGCTGGGCGTGGTGGCTCATGCCTGTAATCCCAACACTTTGGGGAGGCCAAGGTGGGTGGATCACTTAAGGCCAGGAATTCAAGACCAGCACGGGCAACATGGCAAAACCACATCTCTACTAAAAGAACAAAAATTAGCCAGGTGTAGTGGTGCGCACCTACAATCCCAGCTACTCAGGAGAATTGCTGGAACCCAGGAGGCGGAAGCTGCAGTGAGCAGAGATCGTGCCACAGAACTCCAGCCTGGGTGACAGAGCAAGACTCTGTCTCAAAAAAAAAAAAAAAAAAAATCCACAATTATCTCAAGATTATTAAAGTACTTACTCTGTCCTCCTACCTTTTCCAAAATCTGTGTGAGACTAGATTTTCTTCATATACTTCAACCAAAACAATAGGCTACAATCCACTGAATGCAAGGCAGATGTGAAAATCCAGCTCTTCTATGGAGCCACACCTCTAAAAGAATTGCAAAAGCATAAAACAATGCCACTGTATACTTTTTTTGTTTTATAAAATAGTAATTTTATAAATTTTATAAATAGAAAAGTGTTCTTCATGTTAACATGTAATGAGTTATTTATTATTTTCAAGCAGAATGACGAATGTCATCGTTCTCTAAGCGCCTCTGTTTCTAGCCCCTGTGGCTCTCCCCTGGTTCCTGCAATAGAACCCCACCTTGTTTCTCCACCTCTGGAGGGAGGTCGACCTTTGTGCTGCTATCGGAATAATCGGAAAATTTGCCAACAGAATTGAAAACCTTCCGATGGAGCTTCCTTTCCTGCAGAGAAAAGGCCACACACCCTGCATGACCACCAAGGCCCTTCCCATACCCGATCGCCTGCACCCAGCCAAGGTGGTGACTTCTCCATCCCCTGAACTCATCACACAGGAGCCCACCTCTACCCGAAATGCCTGCATTTCTCATCCAGCGGTGCCCCCAGGGTAAACTCCCACACCTCTGTGGATCTGCTCTTCCCTCCTTTGCTGCCCTCTGTGGCTTATGCACACAGTATGGGTGGTTGTATGGCAGCCACAGCAGGGACGTTTGCTTAGGTCTCAATGTCTCTTCATATCATTGTTGAATCTAGCAACGCTATTTCACTTACCTATTTGAACCCTCAACAGTACTGTCAATGTGGGAGGGCAGGCCCTGTGTCCCCTTTCTAGAAGGGAGAGAAGGTGGGTACAGAGAAGGTGGTAAGTGATTAACCCAAGGTCACGTTGGCAGGTCCCAAACATATGTGGTCTGTTCACTTTCCTAGTTCTGCTTATAACTCTGGTTCTTTTTTTTTTTTTTGGAGACAGGTTCTTGCTCTGTTGTCCAGACTGGAGTGCAGTGGTGTGATCACAGCTCACTGCAGTTTTGAACTCCTGGATTCAAGTGATCTTCCCAGATCAGCTTCTCCAATAGCTGGGACCACAAGTGCACACCAGCATGCCTGGCTTTTTTTTTTTTTTTTTTTTGGTAGAGATGGGATCTCACTATGCTTCTCAGGCTGTGTCTTCAACTCTGAGAAACCAACTTATTTTCTATTTACTCCACTCCTACTCTATGCTTAGGCCTTGTTCTCATTCCAGTTTTGGGCCATGTTCACAGTTCCAGTGTCATCCATAGCAGTGTCCTCTTGCTTGCTGTACCACTGGGTCTTGGATTTTGTTTTGTGCTTTTTGTATTTGGTTTGTTTGCTTGTTTTTGAGACAGGTTCTTGCTCTGTTGCCCAGGCTGGAGTGCAGTGGTGCAATCTCAGCTCACTGTAGCCTCGACCTGCCAGGGTCCAGTGATCCTCCCACCTCGGCCTCCCGAGAAGCTGGGACTAGAGGCGTGTGCCACTATGCCTGGCTAATTTTTGTAATTTTTGTTGAGTTGGGGTCTCACCGTGTTCCCCAGGCTGGTCTCGAACTCCTGAACTCAAGCAATCTGCCCACCTTGGCCTCCCAAAGTACTAAGATTACAGGTGTGAGCCACCGTGCCCAGCTGGATCCTGGATGTTAAACACTATGTTAATATTTTCTTGCTATTCACTGAGGACAAATATATTCCACTGACTTCCAAGTTCTCCCAGCTTTCTTTCTTCATCCTGTCATGAGAAAATTCACACCTTTCCCACTTTTAGTTATGTCTTTCTGATTTTCTTTGTCTATTCGCTTGTCCCAGCTGCCTGTTGAATGCCACAGTGCTTATCATTGCTGGGCCAGTGCACGGGGCCTGCTCCCAGGAGGACATAGCACTTTGACTTGGGATTTTACCTTCTGACTCCTTGATTGGCAGGCCAACAGAACCAAAAGTGGTTTGAACTGGGCTAAACTATCTCACGTCCAAGTCCGTGGAGGTCCCACGACTGTAAAACAGCTCTTATAAGAAGGGACCTTGGATGGGGAAGTGATGATAGCCATTTAATTCTTGATATTTATCTGCAAATGAGGAAAGCATACTGAGCTGTTCACAACTGTTGGTGACTACATTATAATTATTTCATTTGTGTAGAGACTGGCTGAGGCAAGACCTCAGAAGGATCTCAGGGAACAAACCTCAGGTTCAACCTCCCAGGGGGCCAGCTACACTGTGCTGAAAACAGAACTATAATTCACTCATCTGCTATGACATTACGTCTCTTAAAATTGCTTCTGTAGGCCGGGCGCGGTGGCTCATGCCTGTAATCCCAGCACTTTGGGAGGCTGAGGCAGGGAGATCCCTCGAGCCCAGGAGTTCAAGACCAGCCTGGCCAACATGGCGAAACTCTGTCTCTACAAAAAAATACAAAAATGAACCAGGCATGGTAGTGCATGCCTATAATCCCAGCTACTTGGGAGGCTGGGGTGGGAGGATTACTTGAGCCCGGGAGGCGGAGCTTGCAGTGAGTTGAGATCATGTCACTCTAGTCCAGTGCTCTCTGGGCAATGAAATGAGACCCTATCTCATAAAAAGAAAAAAAGAACCACTTCTGTTGTCTTGGGGACCTATTTTTTTTTAATATGCTTCGCACTACTTTTGTTGTTCTCACCTGATCCCTTCTAACTTTTCGTATTAGGGCTGATATGTTTTGTTAGTAAGAACAATTAGGTGTAATGGGAGATAGTGAGAACAGCATGTATTGCGTGCCTATTATCTACCAGAGACTGCATTTAAAATATATGATTTAGTATTTTCACGATTGTGCAAGGTAGTTATGATCACCACTTTGCAGAGGAGGAAACTGAAGCTCAAATAGATTGAATTTACCAAGACAATTCAGCAAGTCACAAAGCCGGGACTTCCTCCCGGACCTCTGAGACTGAGGCCCCGCCCGTCTGCGGCCCTCTTTCTCTCCAGTGCTCCTGGAGGTTGAGTGTGCGGACACCGGCATATCTGGTTCCCAGCTCCTTTCCTTAGGTTATCAAGGAGTTTTCATACCAAAATAGAAAAATGTAAGACTTTCCATTTTTTGTACATGTATTTATATAGGTGGGCATTTTCTTAGAAAAAAAGAAAAATTAAAATCTGACATTGGTCTTTAAAATTAGCTACCAATTCC